ACAAAACGGGAAGCTACTGCTTGGGTAGGGAGAAGGTATTTCCATGACCACAGAAATTGAACAAAAATATAATTAGCTGAAATTCAATATTAACAATTAATTTTATCATTTTTCCGTTATATTATTGGCTAAACAACAGAAAGAACTGCAACATGCCATCATTTGTTTTCTAACAAATTGCGAATTGGAACAGTTTGAAATGATATTCCTTGTTTGCTTATGATCTGGAAACAAAACGGGAAGCTACTGCTTGGGTAGGGAGAAGGTATTTCCATGACCACAGAAATTGAACAAAAAATATAATTAGCTGAAATTCAATAATTAACAATTAATTTTCCCATTTTTCCTTTATACTATTGGCTACACAACAGAAAGAACTGCAACATGCCATGATTTGTTTTCTAACAAATTGCGAATTGGAACAGTTTGAAATGATATTCCTTGTTTGCTTATGATCTGGAAACAAAACGGGAAGCTACTGCTTGGGTAGGAGAAGGTATTTCCATGACCACAGAAATTGAATAAAAAATATAATTAGCTGAAATTCAATAATTAACAATTAATTTTCCCATTTTTTTCGTTATATTATTGGCTACACAACAGAAAGAACTGCAGCATGCCATGATTTGTTTTCTAACAAATTATGAATTGGAACAGTTTGAAATGATATTCCTTGTTTGCTTATGATCTGGAAACAAAACGGGAAGCTACTGCTTGGGTAGGAGAAGGTATTTCCATGACCACAGAAATTGAATAAAAAATATAATTAGCTGAAATTCAATAATTAACAATTAATTTTCCCATTTTTTCGTTATATTATTGGCTACACAACAGAAAGAACTGCAGCATGCCATGATTTGTTTTCTAACAAATTGCGAATTGGAACAGTTTGAAATGATATTCCTTGTTTGCTTATGATCTGGAAACAAAACGGGAAGCTACTGCTTGAGTAGGAGAAGGTATTTCCATGACCACAGAAATTGAACAAAAAATATAATTAGCTGTAATTCAATAATTAACAATTAATTTTCCCATTTTTCCGTTATACTATTGGCTACACAACAGAAAGAACTGCAACATGCCATCATTTGTTTTCTAACAAATTGCGAATTGGAACAGTTTGAAATGATATTCTTTGTTTGCTTATGGTCTGGAAACAAAACGGGAAGCTACTGCTTGGGTAGGAGAAGGTATTTCCGAGACCACAGAAATTGAACAAAAATATAATTAGCTGAAATTCAATAATTAACAATTAATTTTATCATTTTTCCGTTATATTATTGGCTAAACAACAGAAAGAACTGCAACATGTCATCATTTGTTTTCTAACAAATTGCGAATTGGAACAGTTTGAAATGATATTCCTTGTTTGCTTATGATCTGAAACAAAACGGGAAGCTACTGCTTGGGTAGGAGAAGGTATTTCCGAGACCACAGAAATTGAACAAAAATATAATTAGCTGAAATTCAATAATTAAAAATTAATTTTATCATTTTTCCGTTATATTATTGGCTAAACAACAGGAAAAGAACTGCAACATGCCATCATTTGTTTTCTAACAAATTGCGAATTGGAACAGTTTGAAATGATATTCCTTGTTTGCTTATGATCTGGAAACAAAACGGGAAGCTACTGCTTGGGTAGGAGAAGGTATTTCCATGACCACAGAAATTGAACAAAAAATATAATTAGCTGAAATTCAATAATTAACAATTAATTTTATCATTTTTCCGTTATATTATTGGCTAAACAACAGAAAGAACTGCAACATGCCATCATTTGTTTTCTAACAAATTGCGAATTGGAACAGTTTGAAATGATATTCCTTGCTTTTGCTTATGATCTGAAACAAAACGGGAAGCTACTGCTTGGGTAGGAGAAGGTATTTCCATGACCACAGAAATTGAACAAAAAATATAATTAGCTGAAATTCAATAATTAACAATTAATTTTCTCATTTTTCCTTTATACTATTGGCTACACAACAGAAAGAACTGCAACATGCCATGATTTGTTTTCTAACAAATTGCGAATTGGAACAGTTTGAAATGATATTCCTTGTTTGCTTATGATCTGGAAACAAAACGGGAAGCTACTGCTTGGGTAGGAGAAGGTATTTCCATGACCACAGAAATTGAATAAAAAAAATATAATTAGCTGAAATTCAATAATTAACAATTAATTTTCCCATTTTTTCGTTATATTATTGGCTACACAACAGAAAGAACTGCAGCATGCCATGATTTGTTTTCTAACAAATTGCGAATTGGAACAGTTTGAAATGATATTCCTTGTTTGCTTATGATCTGGAAACAAAACGGGAAGCTACTGCTTGGGTAGGAGAAGGTATTTCCATGACCACAGAAATTGAATAAAAAATATAATTAGCTGAAATTCAATAATTAACAATTAATTTTCCCATTTTCGTTATATTATTGGCTACACAACAGAAAGAACTGCAGCATGCCATGATTTGTTTTCTAACAAATTGCGAATTGGAACAGTTTGAAATGATATTCCTTGTTTGCTTATGATCTGGAAAAAAAAACGGGAAGCTACTGCTGGGTAGGAGAAGGTATTTCCATGACCACAGAAATTGAACAAAAAATATAATTAGCTGTAATTCAATAATTAACAATTAATTTTCCCATTTTTCCGTTATACTATTGGCTACACAACAGAAAGAACTGCAACATGCCATCATTTGTTTTCTAACAAATTGCGAATTGGAACAGTTTGAAATGATATTCTTTGTTTGCTTATGGTCTGGAAACAAAACGGGAAGCTACTGCTTGGGTAGGAGAAGGTATTTCCGAGACCACAGAAATTGAACAAAAATATAATTAGCTGAAATTCAATAATTAACAATTAATTTTATCATTTTTCCGTTATATTATTGGCTAAACAACAGAAAGAACTGCAACATGTCATCATTTGTTTTCTAACAAATTGCGAATTGGAACAGTTTGAAATGATATTCCTTGTTTGCTTATGATCTGGAAACAAAACGGAAGCTACTGCTTGGGTAGGAGAAGGTATTTCCATGACCACAGAAATTGAACAAAAAATATAATTAGCTGGAATTCAATAATTAACAATTAATTTTGCTGTTATTGAAAAAAAGGGTGAACATTTTTATGGATAATTAATGAAATTAAGCTCCTCTGCAAAGAAAATAATAATAATTCATAAAATTGATGGAAACGCGTGTATTTTAAGAATTTGTATTTTAAGATATTACATACATTACATACTGGTTATATCACATATGGTGAGGGACAAAGAAAATCGCGATATATAAGACGAAAATCGTTTACATGTATTTTTTTAATTAAAATAATTATAATAAATAAACAAGAAACGCTCAAAATATATGCGATATAATGAGACGCTATGCATAAGGAAATTGCTAAATTAGAATGTAACCGCGCTTACTCCTACATATTGTAAGAGCTTCCCCTGCTGTAGATCTCGAGTTTGTTTATTAGACTAGTAGGCCAGTAGATCTCGAGACTCTCACCAGAGAGGAAATATATTTAACTCAACCCTGTGCATTATTTGGCCTACGGATTCTCATCCGGAGGAAGCATATTCCGCTCATCCTAAACAAACCTGAGTATCTTTATTTTCAGCTTGAAAGTGGAATCCTTCCATGAATCTATAATTATGTGTCTTAAAATGTGGTAAATATTGTTTGTGCATGGTGCTCGAGAGTGTTTAAATAAATCTGTGATTTCTCCAATCTGTGCGTCAAGTATCTCAATCAAACCACACCCTGTTACAATCAAGTTGCTTCAACCCAAGAGTAAAAAAAAATTCTATAAAACTACAAGAGTAAAAAAATTCTCATATTATTGTCCAAAAAAAGTAAAAGGAGGAGGCAAATGTAATTTTAAAAAATTTGTGTAACTCTCTTTTAAAATAACTGTAGTTAAACTGCTGAAAACACAATAAATCATAATTTCACAGAACAAATACTTTTATTTTCATCACAGATATTGGGATACATTTTGAAAGATCGATAATAACAATGAAATTAAACTAAATTTGATTTATTTGCTTAAGATGTACACTTAGTAATTTTCGGACCACATTATAATATTCAAAATCATATCTGCAAAAAAAAAAAAAAAATAATAATAATAATAAAATATATATTATAAATAAATAAATATATAAGAAATTTTAATACACTATAATCAAATTATTTTTCATAATAATTTTTATTAAAATTATGAGCTTTCATTAAATTCACACTTATTATTTGTCGTCCTGTGTTCAAATATTTAAAATTGAATTTGATAGCTACGAAAAAATATCGAATTAAAGTTTTGCACTCAAACATAGTATTATGTTAGCTTATTCGTTGATAATAACACATTAATATCCTGTTAAAATAATTTTTTAATATTAATTTCTCATTTTAGAGACTTTGGGGTTTATCTCGTTCATATAGTCTCTGGGTTCGACTTGAATCATTTTAACTGCAGCATCTGTGATATCCTCTGATACATATGTGCATTGCAGAGGCTATTTTTATAAACAATAAGGGCGACGAGTATGACAGTGTGTGTATCAGTCACTCATTGATAGAAAGACTGCCTTGTGAGAATAGTCCACGCTTACTTTCTCTCAGTTGTTTCCTATTAGGACTGATTGTGAAATGAATGTAGGGAGTTTTGCACATATATGACAAAGCTGAAGAAAACATTAACAACAAGTATTTAAACAAAACTGCACAGCCCAAACATGTTAAACACTTTTTCTTTCACCATTTTCTTTGAACACAACCGTTTCAGCCCTTTTCTATCCTCGTATATCTGTTACCTCTTCTGAACAAAGAAACTTACCTCTCATTACAGTTACAGTTTGATCGTAACGCGACATTCTCCCCGCCTTGAGTTTGGCGATACAAACTCAAAAATAGTAAACATAAAGAAAATATATGCATACAATTTGAGATAACTAATCGTACAAATAACAATATAAATCGCCAACAGCCGTATCATGCTGCATAACCGGTTCTCGTTAGATCCCCGAAGTCAAGCATCATTGGGCGCGGTCAGTGGTTGGGCGGGTGACCGCCTGGGAAACACCGCGTGCCGTTGTCATTCACAAATTTGGGACCTGAATGGCCGAGTGTTCTTGGCCGGTACCACAGATTTCGGGTTCGAATCCGACGGTGCCATGGATGTTTGTAGTGGTTCGGAATCCACTTTAAGCCGTAGGTCCCGGTCTCTTATGACTGTAAGAGCGTTACGGAGCAGAAGTCAGACTTCTACCTACGGGTGCTCCATCATAACAGAAGCTGCACCCCTCTTCCCTCCTTCCGTGAGGGACACGACAACAACAACAATATAAATATTTCAGAATATTGGAATACAAATTGAAATCAATGCTTTAAAGTTGAAATATAGAAAGCAAAAGTTTGTTTTAAGAGTTTATAAATTCAGTCTTTTAACTGATTTAATTTTTCGTCCCTGAGCGAGACACGGGAACAGTTCCATAAGATTCAGTATTAAGCTCCGGGTGTTCAGTTAATACTTCCGGAATCTTCTGAGTTTCCGGTACGACTTGCTCATAGTTTGGTGTCAGTTTCAAGGGGAACTTTCGTTGGGTTGGTCTTAATATGTTTCCCATTTCAGTTCGCAGTTTCACAAGTCTGATGATTCCAACTTTTCCTGGATAGAGTTCAGTACTCTCCTAGCAGCCAATGCAGCCATTTTTATATTGAGTATTATTGTACACAATAAAAACCGTTATTGCACAATGAGTGGTTAACAAGTTTAGAGAATTCCTGGATCGTTGGAAAAGTAAATTATCCATAATTGCATTAAATAAACGTCATTAAAGAATTCAGGTTATGGGATCTTAATAAATTTTTTCTACTGTTATAATCTACTATTACATGGTACTACTGGGGTACCGAATCGGAAACATGGCTGACATGAGCACGATTAATAAATAAGTCGAAATGATTCTCCATGCACTTATTCAGGGTATGCAGTGGCACCAGGGAAAAATGTTGATTCACACATTGATTGTTCATATTTAAAGAGGGTTAACAAACACTGCTTATTTATGTAGCATTGTTTAAAAATGTAAATTGGCCAGCAAGTGAAAACTTGATGTCATTAATGAAAAAAATTATAAGTGAAATATTATTTAATTGATTCTGCAATCATAATGGAAAATTTAACAAACATGGAATCGGTTTGTTAAAGGGAGAATCAATATTCAATATGAAAAGCGAAATTTTGAAATTTTGAGAACGGTTAACAATAAGTCGAAATGCGTCTTCATACACTTATTCAGGGAAATGCATGTACCACAATGCAGTGGCACCAGGGAAAAATTTTGATTCACGTATTGGTTGTTCAATTTAGAATCGAACATGAACATTAAATTTTACATGCAGTTAACAGACTTTGCTTATTTATGTGTCATTGTTTAAAAATATAAATTCGCCCTGATGTCATTAAAAAAAAAATTATATGGGAAATATCATTTAAATGATTCTGCAATCATAACGGAAAATTTAATAAACATGGAGTCGGTTTGTTAAATGGAGAATCAATAATCAATATGAAAAGCGAACAAATGTAACCAAAAAAATAATAGACAGTTCACAAGAAAGGTTTTAATTATATATTTAGATGGAAAGAAATTGTCACAGAAGATTCCTCTCAATAGTTTTAGAGAGTCTAAATGCAGCGAGGGGGCATAAAATCTTTGCAAAAGTTAGTTACATTGTCCCGAAGGCAGACTTCATATTTTCACTTAACTCAGATCTTGGAGTCGTCGATAAATTACAGATACAGAAAGTGAATCCCATCGTTACTTGATAAATACAAACAACAATTTTGGTCATCAAAAATGTATTGTATAATAATAAATAATAATAATATTTTAAAGGTCTTACTCATTTAAGATTGGTTTGTTTTGGCGTCATACAAGTTTTCTCACACTCTTCCTTTGTTTCAAAGTTGTTGTCATTTCGAAGCATCCACCGTAAGTGAACTTTTTACAACTTCGTGATTTGTGATGGTAGAAGAATCTTTTAAGTAGTCCAAGCAAGGACCTCTCATTTTCGGTTTTTGACAAACTGCAAGGTTAAATGCATATTAAATACTATTGAGACAATATCGGTGACGTAAATAATAAAATTAAATTTTTGATAAAACGAAAAAACATTTTTATGTGGAAGTTCTGACAAAATATAATCAATGACATTTTTGAAACTGTTCGAAAAACAATCATTGCAACATATAATGCATCCTTCCTTTTTGTGATTAAACTTCTTATTTGGGAGTCGAGGCAGCAAGTCTTTTTGTTATGGAAGTGAGCGGAGCTTTTGTTTTTTCAATTTGTGATCATCTATATACGCACGCCATCACTTCCTGTTTATAGTAGAGCGGAATCTATCAAATTTATCAGAATAATGACAGCATCAGCATGCTGGAGTTTTCAATTGTTCATGTTACTTTTATATGCATAGATATTTCACAATGAATTTAATTTAAAATAACTGTTCTATTCAGATTTTAATGTGATTACGGCCAAGATCTAGAATAATGTACCCCTTGTATTAAATTTACGCCAAATCACCAAGTAAACACTCAAATGGGATTACTGTTTTAAATGTAAGAAACAAATTTTCACTAGGTTTTATTATTAAAGGGATAAATTAGATGGCTAAACATCTAATTTATACCTTTAATAAAAAAGTAACACATTTCGAAGATTTTTTATCTACTCACTGACTTAGTAGAGTATATAATGATCAAATAAATTTGCATTTCACCAAATCAGAATATTCCTACATCTTCAAGTATATTTATTGCTGTTTGCTAATAATTGGAGCTACAGAACTTAGAGAAGAATTGAATCAAATTCTCACATTTTTTATAGAAAATTTTGATGTAAATTTTGGCTTCAGATTATAACAACTGCTTCATTTTTTGAGGAGAAATTGTTATTGAAAATGTATAATTCCCCACTTTATCGCAATACACCGTAGAACAACAATCAATACAGTTTTTCACAATACGTAGAAAGACTAGAATATCTTCATTTCATACTTCAGCTATCACAAATCAATTATTTCTTTTCTGGGCAGCAAAGAGAATGATAATTACTCCATATTTTAATATAAAATAATCTAATCAATTATATTTTTAATGAGACTTATTATGTTATGCATATTTCTTGGATTTAAGTAGAAACTTGAAACTTCTTTTAAATAAGAAGAATATTAAGTACTCAACTTAACTTACAAAAAACTAGTCCTTTTCATAAGGATCATCAAGAAGATTCCAGAGTTGAAGAAGTAACAATTTTGGGTAAACCTTACAAATTAAAACTTTTCAATTTGAACTACCTTTGCCTCAAGGCACACATATAAGGCATACCCCTCCATAATATACTGAATTCTACTTGAAGCTGTTGTGGAAATGTTAATTCGCTCATTTAAATATCACGAACTTCACGAAGCTGGCAATATTTTTGATAAATATCCATACCCAATATCAAGGGGACAAATAAGATAGGAAAGAAAGATTATAACTCCTTAATCCAGTTTCTTATCACTTAATAAAATTGAAGGAAAAGTACATCTTTTTATTTCTTAATGCAGGTAAATGAAATGAATTGCTCCTTACTATTTATTGTTACCATAGTGATGGGCTTCCTACTTTGTACTGATATTGTGGCACAGCAATTTAAAAAAAATATCTCATGGATGGCATTTGGGCATATGTCCTCCTTATTCAAGACCTAACATATGTTATTTATACCCTCAAGATCTATTGTGACCGTGACCTATATAGACACGGAATTTTTAGGAAGCTTGACTTGTCGGGTTTTGAACGAAATTCCCTTAACTCGAAACCCCAACGCGCTATCTACTAAATCACTTTGACCACTTTTATGTCCAAATAAAAGTCCTTTTATTCCCAAAACAAACTTCAATTTTTATAATTTACTTTTTAACTTAGAGAGAGACAACAACAAACACTTTTTAACTTTCAAATCAACGAGTTTTTGAGGAGATAATCTTATTCAGGGAAAGAAATATAGTATATAATAAAATTATGCTTTAAAGCTTTGTCTACAGTAGTCACTTGATTTTCAATGGAGTTCATTCTCTTTCTCTCCCCTGTGTGTGTGAAGTGATATTTTTTAAAAGAACTCTACGGTTACCTTGTTCTCTACGTTTCTTTTCTATCTCAGCCCAAGATTCATCATCGTACTTCTGATATATTCCTTTTTATCCAGATAATCCTCACTAGAGGAGATGATCCGCTTTCCATCTCATCTTCGTCCTCCTCTTCCTCGAAATTTTCCTCAATATTCGGATGTTCGTCTTTCATTTTGGATGCACGTTCCTCCTTACTTTTAGCATGTGATTGATCTAACTGAAACAGTTTTCTGTAACATTCAGAAGCTCCGCAAGCTTTTTTCGCATTTCGTCCATGCATTGTTCTGGAATCGAAAAACAAAAGTGATAAATTTAAAAGTAACAAAATTAACCAAAAAGCAGGCTACACGCCATATACAGTGGGTTAACAAAATAATGGGAAACACCTGCGAATAAAAATGACATTTTTGAATGCTCTTAGTAAGCATTAAAATATAATAATAGATGCCAGTTTTTTAAAATAGAATGTATACATTCTGTAGTAAGTGGTAGCTGTATTAAAGTTCTGTAAAGTCTTGGATTTATTTCAAACGCGTCAATTATCGGACAATTCAGATTTTCAAAGAGGCCAAATAGTAGAAGCCCATCTAGCTGGAGCAAAGTGTAACCAAAAACATCCCCACTTTTAGGGCGTTTCTATAGGAGGCGTCTGGTCATTACAGTATACACAGTATGGCTAGACAGGCTCCCTTACATGCCGAAGTCGTTCCTACACCATAATAAAGGATTCTTTATAAAACTTTGCTATTTCTATTATTTTGTTAACACCCTGTATCTTAACATGGGAATGACTTTAATACGTTGATTTTTGTGGTGCTTTTTTGAAATGTCCACAATGGTTTAGATTGGAAAAAAAAGTTCATGTTATGTTTAAAAGCTGGGAATATTACCTGAGAAAAACATTTTC